TTGGATTGCCTAGCATTAGATAGACAAGCGTTAGCACTGGATGGCCACTAGCGACTCGTCTCTTCTGTAAAGAAAACTTAATCAAGGAAATGGTTAGCATCTCTAAGTGACATACATTAGACGTAACTAGCTTAGGAACAGATATATCCTTTTGCGTCAAGGAAGTAGCAACCGATGGGTGAGCAATAGTCTTAACTTGGCACTGAAACTACGCCATAAATAATTTTTACTTAGCTACACTAACAAGCAAAGGATATGAATACTTACGAGAGCAAGGCAGAAAAAAGATATCACAGGAAAGTTAGTGTACGTGTGGTTTTCTGAAAACGCAAAGAGGCCACACATTTTACCGTTGAACAGACCTGGACGAGGAAGTGTGATGGCAAAGACTCGTCAAGATGTTGAAGAAAATCTCCTGAACACCACAATTATCTTGACAGTCTAATAATACCATCAGTCCAATTCAAAGTAGGGGCTATCCATACATCTCTTCACATCCAGAATTTGACTTCTAAGACCAGAATCTTTTGCAAGGCAAATGAACACAGTCACAGCATTAAAAAAAAAAAAAAAGATGATAAGAATCAGTCTGCTATTCACCACTCTGCTGGGTAGCTGGGGATAATTTGATAAATGCTTATTTGCATATTATTTATGCTGTTTTTTTATTATGGTTTTTTAGAGAGACAAAACACAAATTAATAATAAAGTAAAATAAAACCCTTAATATATTATTTAGTCCAAATTTATTTTTTATACTGGAGACACTAAAAAAAAATAAATAAATAATAATAATAATAATAATCTTCTTCTGTTTGCAAAGCTCCCACACTAAGTCCAAGCAATAATCCAAACAGATTACAAGAAATCATTGTCCCCTTTTCACCCATACTTTCAATTGCTTTTAGCATGAATTTAGTCATACAAGTTGAATGTTTTTCACGAGTAAACACATGCTCTATTTTTAACATTGCAGGGAATAAAAGGAGTACAGCTTTGCCACTATTTTTCCATAATGGTTAGAACCCAAATTTACCATCATTTTAGAACAACATGCTTCGCAGTAATCCATCATGTTTTTATATTTTCTTTGCAAAAAAGCCAGACTTTGATCAAACGCTCCTCAGGTTTTCTGCATGTTCTTCAAAGGTTTTCATGAGCGTAACATCTTGTGTACAAAAAGGTGTTTGCCTGACAAGACATCTAAAGATCTAATTCAAAATTGCTAATATTCTGATATGACTTCTTCCTTTAGGGACTTTTTTTTATTTATTCCAGAGTGATTGATATTATAGTTAACTGACTTAATTAGCTACTTGACAGAGGGATTGAAGCAGCGGCCAAAACTGAGAGACGCCTTAAAAAACCTGCAGAGAATCTGAGGGAAAATAGTTTGACTTCACAAGAAGAGATTACCAGAAAGTCTGGCTCCTTTGAAAGAAAATACAAACGAAATTATGAATAACTCAAGATTTCTGCAGAGTAGTTTCAATGCAAAAGTTGCAGTTTTATTCAAAGTTATGTAGTCTACTTTATTGTCAAATCACCATATGTAGACATACAAAGAATCAAAATTAAGTTTCGTGCAGTGTCCCGGTGAAACAAAAAACTTAAAAACATCACCTAACAATAAATAACAAATAATAGTAAGAAGAAGAAAAAAAGTTTTCCTCTGGACCAGGTCTCCCTTTAAGAGCGCTTCAGTTCCTTCTCGCCTAATACGGAGGACACAAACCCAGCCTTCACTGCGGAGACCTGCATGCAAACTTGGGGGCCAAAGGTAAAGACAGATATTTGTAAAGAGAAACATCCGCCAAAAGACTTTCAAAATAAAACACAAACGTTCAAGTGGGAATCGTTTCACTTTAAAGAGATTGCGATTTGATTCTTTTCTAGAAAAGATTATGAGTTTGTTTTTGCCACTTTTGTGATTTGCTCAGTGTTTAGATGTAATAAAAATAGGATTTCCTCTGTTTTGGCGAGTAAATATCT